AAAACAGGGGGGTGGAGGCGGGGGTGGGGGGGAGTCAGTTTGCAATGGAGGCAGTTTTGGTGGTTATAACTGAGAGGTACTGCTGCCATCTAGTGGGTGGAGGCCAGAAATGCTGCAACATATCCTGTGTGTACAGGACAGCCCCAACAACAAAGAAACTGGTCCAACATGTCAATAGTCCGAGGTTGAGAAAGCCTGTGCTGACTGGTGAAAGCAAACTCATTTCGAGATAAGATCCGCTGTGATTTTCAGCATGGAGATTTGTTTGGAGGAGCAAAATGGCAATGTTAAAAGTCTGTGTTTTCTCTTACCAGGCACTTTGTCTGAACAAGGCTGGTGATGTCCACCAAGGTTTCCAGGCACTTCTCTCGGATGTTAACAGATCTGACACCCAGTACTTGCTCAGAACTGCCAACAGACTCTTTGGAGAAAAGACGTGTGATTTCCTTCCGGTACGTAGTACTCACATATTTTATTTATTTATTTATTTATTATTTTTAATCCTCACCGGAGGACATGCTTTTATTGCTTTTAGAGAGAAAGGAAGGGAGAGGGAGGGAGACAGAGAAACATTGATGTGAGAGTGAAACATCAATAGATAGCTTCCACACAAGCCCTGATTGGTGATTGTACTTGAAACCTGGGTATGTGCCCTGACCAGGAATTGAACCTGTGACCTTTAGTTGTACTGGACAAGGCTCCAACCAACTGAGCCACATGGGCCAGCGCAGTAGTACTCACACATTGATTAACAAGAAATTGAAAATAAAATAGAAACTTCAGAGGAACTGAGAGATAAAGTATAACTCTACTGCCTTAAACATTTGCTTAGAATTTTACCTCTGTAATTATAGTTTTGAATTTTATGATGGCTTCTGAATTATGCCCTTTTTAAATTGTTTCTGATATATTCCTCCTGAACTTTAAACTCAATATGTCCATCCTCTGACATCCAGACTCTTTTCCTCTTGATCTGAGTAGTTCCTATTGATTTCAGTGTATAATTCCAGAGTTCCCTTGCCCAGTGAAAGAAAGCCTGCCATGATTCAGTAAGTGAGGTCCAAAAAATGCTGCTATGTAATATGCAGAGAGATGCTATCTTGAAGTAAAGGAAATGGTCAGGATGAGCCTGGCCGTCTTATGGGCTGGCAGTTCCCAGGATTCTTCTGTAGGACTCACATACATCCCTGCTGGTGGGCACTACCCCGTGGAGGCTGCCTGCACTGGGCATAAAAATCACTGGAGATGATTCTGGATCTTTCAGCTGGCTAGGTTTTCCAGGATAAGCATGATTCCAGGAATCTACTGGTTAAACAATGTTCACTTTGAACATCAGCCTAATCTTTGAATATTGTTATTGGGGAATATTGGGGACACAGGGAACCACCTGCCACCTTTCTCAGTTGCTGGGTTCTTCTCTCTACATCTTCTTTCTTCTGTAGAAGCTAAACTATTTGAGAACAGGAGATGGGCGGAGGATAGGCACCCTCCAGGCACATTATTCTGAGACCAAGTTTTTGTGAGGTGAGTTATCGTTGGGTTTTAATATATTGGGTATAGGGCCTCCCTGATTTGATCCCACCTTACATTTCAAGGTTCAGCCCCTGCCCCTGTGTTTTTTTCCCCTAATTCCTCACACACACAAACACCATACATAAATACACACACACACACACACACACGCACGCACACACACACACACACACACACACACACACGCCAGGGTTCTTGTCCCAGCATCAAGAAGGGTTCAGGAATCTGGAAAAGGCTGTGTGTAGATGGCATAGGAATCCAGAGACTAAAAAAGTCTAGAGACGAGATATAACTTTGAAAGGCGTTGGGGGTCAGAGGACCTTCAGCTTTACTATTCAAGTTTGGGGAAATGCCTTTAGCCATTCTCACAGGTGACTACATGTGTGACTCAACCCTGTTGAGTCCCCAAGTCTCATCAGCCTTTTGATGAAACTCGGTAAAATTATGACATGCTGGAATTGGTCTACGGCACACACACATACACACATACATCTAGGACAGTCACATTCCACTCCTGGGAGACCTGCAAGATTTCTTGGTAATCTAGTTCTGCCATGGAGCCTCCCAGTCACTCCATAGGTATGTTTCAGACCCTGGGGCTGGTGCCAGTGATGCAAAAGTGAGTGAATAAAGAAAGTTAGAGTGCTTGGCGGGGAGGGAGGCAGAAAAATCACACAGAAATCAATATGCAGTTTAAGTGCTTGATGGGCATTCATGATGGGCTCTTTGGTGCATGCCTGCCACCCTTCATGTTCTCAGGACATCTTATAACTATCTGTGTGTGCGCGTCATCTCTCACAGACTGGGAGCCATCTCTGGTCTCATGCCATGTCTTCTTCACCCTGGCGTCCAGCACCCAGCGGGTGGTTTGTGCATTTTTGTTAATTGCATGGATGAGTGTTAACATGCAGGATGAGCTGGGCAAGCAGTTAGGCTAGAAACATGTTATGTTTCAGACCCTGGGGCTGGTGCCAGTGATGCAAAAGTGAATAAAGAAAGTGAGCGTGCTGGGCGGGGAGGGAGGCAGAAAAATCACACAGAAATCAATATGCAGTTTAAGTGCTTGATGGGCATTCATGATGGGCTCTTTGGTGCATGCCTGCCACCCTTCATGTTCTCAGGACATCTTATAACTATCTGTGTGTGCGCGTCATCTCTCACAGACTGGGAGCCATCTCTGGTCTCATGCCATGTCTTCACCCTGGTGTCCAGCACCCAGCGGGTGGTTTGTGCATTTTTGTTAATTGCATGGATGAGTGTTAACATGCAGGATGAACTGGGCAAGCAGTTAGGCTAGAAACATGTTCAGAAAAAACAGATGTGTTCCCACCGTGGGACCTGCTGCATGGGGCTGGACTCGGTATCTTGCGCTTGCAGGCCTTTAAGGAATCCTGCCAGAAGTTCTATCAGGCCGAGCTGGAGGAGCTGTCCTTTGCTCAAGACACCGAGGAATGCAGAAAGCACATCAACGACTGGGTGGCAGAAAAGACTGAAGGTGAGAGATTTCATTTCCGTGCACTTGGGAAGCTGCGAAGGAACAGGAGGTGAGAGGGCCTGGGCTGTGACCTCCACAGTATTGCCACTGGCACCCTGTAACCAGCGTGTGTGCGTGTGTGTGTGTGTGTGTGTGTGTGTGTGTGTTCACAGAGACTGTGATTTCAGGCCAGCCATGCAGTTCTGTGATTTTTCTTGGGCTTATCAGATCCCAAAGCGGTGATTTCAAATAAAAACTTAAACCAGGTGTAAGGGTCTCAGACGCCTTCCCCACTGGCCTCTACTAGAAAATACCAGAAAGATGCATCCTCATGGGGCCCTGTTTTTCTACTATCTGGGAGGAGCCTTGCCCCACTCTGAGGGCAGGATGACATCCAATTTAGGTGGCAGCTCAGATAGGGCCACCTTTCACATTATCTCCCTGTGGTAATGGAACAGCTCTGGTTTCATCCTTGGCCTGCTCCTTCTTTGTCACGAGGCTGTGGCTAAGTTAGCTTTTAGAGGGTGACGTTTTCTGAGTTTGCTCCAGGTTCAGGAACCACAGCCTATGCGGAGCCTGCAAAGTCCCCTGTCCAAACCACATTCCGTCTCAGCAGATACAGTTCCACCAGTTCCTGATTAGACTGCAGAGAAAAAGGACATGCTTTTAAGCACTGTAAATAGCTAGCATGTAGAGACTTCCAGAACATGAGGACTTCAGTCACTCATTTCTCCTCGTGCCCACCCAGCACTCATCACTCCATCCATTCAGTCTTTCTGGCATCCCTGCCATCTCAGGCAGCAGCAACGATCACGATTATACTGAGAGCCCATAAAGTAATGACTGTTGGAAGGGAAGAACCTTTCATGTTTTCTTTGGTGTTATGTGCGGTGGTCTCTCATTCCCCAGTAGTTGGAGCAGTTGTAAGTCACTGGCGAAGCCAGAAGCTGTGTACCTCACCTCACCTTCACCTGTTGCATCCCCTCCACAGCTGTTCACACCTTTCCTTCCTTCAGGCTGGCCACCCGTGTTTTCTTTCCAGAATATTAGAGCCGGGGGGACGTTGGGGATCACCTTGTCCCTACTTTCATTGAACAAGTTGGGCTTCTTCATTGCATCCCCCTAAGTCCTTTGCTCCATTCACCCTGTTCAGGAAGCCTGCTTTCTCCCATGATCGGGCTGCATTTCCCGTTCTTTGGAAGGCTCTCCTCCCCTCAGCAAATAATCATCTGGCCTACAATGTCAACAGTGGCACGGTTGAGAAATTATGGTGCCAAGGTTGAATGGCTTATAGTTAAAATAAAATCCCTTGGATTATTTTCTCAGCCCAGTCACTTGCCATCTAGTGACCTTAGCAAAAATGTTAGGCAAATGCTCTGAACCTGAATTTCTACATCTGTCAATTGAAGGCAAAATGATAGTTGACCTGCCCTTTTCAGGATTGCTGCTTAAGGACAGACAGTACTCAGTGTGCGTGCCCAGCCCAAAGCATCATCGCCCCGAGTCATCAAGCAACCGAAAAGACAGGATTCCAGCCTGGCTGTCAACCAAGCCTCAGTGTTCTATGTCAAGGGGATTTTTGTAAAAGAATATTTATTCTCCCCCAAATAGCAATAAATTTCTCTCCTGCTCTTTATAGGTAAGATTTCGGAGATTTTGGGTGTTGGCACCGTTGATCCACTGACCAAACTGGTTCTGGTGAATGCGATCTACTTCAAAGGCAGGTGGAAGGAGCAGTTCGACAGAAAGCACACAAGGGGGATGCCTTTCAAAGTCAACCAGGTAGGGACAGCGACTCCAGATACACCGCTGTTTTCTTAAAGTAGCACATTGGGAATAGTTGTGAATGGGAAAAATATCAATCATTTATTTCACACTATTTTGATTGTTGACCCATTTCTGAATGTATTTCATGCCTCCTATATGTTATTGGAAAAAAGAGGAGAAAAATGAAAATAATTTTTTCTATTGATAGTTTCCATTTTTCAGTCCTTGTTCAAATGACCTATCCGTGGTCACATTATTGTGATGGAAAGAAAATTTCTTCTAAGCCTTGGAGTTATGCTTGTATTGTACTATCACTGCCTATATTTACTTAGACACCTCTTTAGTGTCATGGTGAACTGCGCCTATTTATTGCCTTAGAATCCATGGCTATGCAATTCTGAGCACAAGGAAAAAGTTAACAGATGTTAAGGCTGAATATTTATTTATTTAAATATATTTTATTGATTTTTCACAGAGAGAAAGGGAGAGGGATAGAGAGCCAGAAACATTGATGAGAGAGAAACATCGATCAGCTGCCTCCTGCACACTCCCCACTGGGGATGTGCCCGCAACCCAGGTGCATGCCCTTGACCGGAATCGAACCTGGGACCCTTCAGTCCGCAGGCTGACGCTCTATCCACTGAGCCAAACCAGTTAGGGCTGAATATTTATTTTTAATTTTGGAGGAATCTTTTAAAAATAAAGATTGTATATATTCAAAGTATACAAGATTATGATTTAATATGCATACTGAAAAGCTAACATCTCTCCACATACTTTCCTTCTTGTGTGTGTAATGAGAGCCCTGAAATCTACTCTGTTAGCAATTATCCAGAATTCAGTACAGTTTTATTAACTACTAGAGGCCCAGCATGTGATTAAAATCACACAAGGAGGCACCCCACCTCCCCCTGTGGGAGGAGGCACCCCACAGGGGGTCGGGACCTACACCTGACTCGTGCAGCGCTGGCTACCATGGGAGTTAGGTCGGACTGGTCCGCTCTGGGACCCCAGGAGGCCGGGACCCGTGCCTGATTTGCAGTGTTCCTGGCCTCCCTGCCTGTGTCTGCTCTGGGGCCACCTGAGCCACCGCCCCAGCTCAGGCAGGCCCCCCTGCCCCTGTCTTTGTCTCTGCTCTGGGTCTCACCTGCCCACCCAACCTCCTCCTGTCTGGTCGTGACCCGTTATGGAGTCCCGGTCATCATGTTGTACATTAGGTATCCAGACTTATAAGTCGAACATTAAAAATATATCTCTCCATTCCTTTTGTGTATGATAATGGTTGGTGTCAATACCTGTTAGCTTGGAATTTCACCTCCATCAACTTGACAATAGCACATTGCACAAAGATTTAAAAGTCTAGAGTATATTTGATGTAAGCTTTAGAAATGGTGAACCTTACACATCTTGTTAAGGTTCTCCCTTCAGGAAAATCAAAGCTGTATAATCAATTGTATAATTGAGCAACTTTTCAGAATAAAAGTCTATAACTTCCTCTGGCCTATACATCTTCTCTAACCTAATCCTCCAGCCCAAAGACCTGAATATTAGTTAATTCTCCTCTAAACTTAGAAAAACAATTTTTAATTATAAGGTCTCTGGGAGTGCTTCTTTATGTATTTTCTCAAGAAAGAAAACCCAAACTTCTTCCAAAAATAATGAGAGAGTTTTATGTCTGTCCATATTTTACAATTTATTCTCTTATCTGGTTATAATTGATCTGCTGGGGCATGAGCATGTTATACTCAATACTAATATGTACTAATGAGGATTTTGTATCTATCAGCATAAATGCACAGAAGTAATCATTCTCTTAAATGTACCTAGAGGTTCTGTGAATTAGACATATTTTTAGTGAACTGTGCTCATTTTTCAAAAATCTGATTTTAATTTCATGTTTTCATTAGGAAAAAAAGACAGTGCAGATGATGTTTAAGCATGATAAATTTAAAATGGGCTGTGTGGAGGAGGTGAAAAGCCAGGTGCTGGAGCTGCCCTATGTGGGGGAGGAGCTGAGCATGGTCATTCTGCTGCCTGATGAAGACATTGATCTTGCAGTGGTAAGCCCTTGGCAATGAGTCTGAGTGTCTGTGGATCTAGTCTTAGCTCCTTTCTTTAAGTCCATCCATCAGATAGCATTTGAGGAGTTTTCAATTTGGAGTTATTACAAAGAGTGCTGGCTGAACACTATTGCATGTCTTTGGTGGGGGTGTATATGCATTTCTGTTGAGTATATATCTAGGAATGGAATTGCGGGTAAGGACAAATGTTGAAGCTAAGGAGAGCTCCAAGAATTTAAAAGAATTATTCATTAATCGTTATTCTTTATTCTTTATTCTTAAGAGAGAGGCTAGTTGAGGGCCCAATAACTGTTGAATGGAAGTACTAGAAAAGGACAGGATTGATCTGGGCTTGAGTTCCTCAAACATCCATGTACATACAAATCTCCTAGGGATCTTGTTACAATGAAGATTTTTGACTAGGGGCTATGGCCTGAGATTTTTTGCATTTCTAACAAGATTCCAGGTGATACAGGTGCTATTATTGGTCATGGGCCACATTTTGAGTACAAGAGTACAGGTGAGCAGTGTGTCTTAGACAGGAGCAGAGAGCCCTCTTCCCATGACAGAAAAGGAACAGAGTTCAGGAGGAAGGTAAATTTGTAAGATGGATGGTACAGAACCAACAGTGTGCTGGCTATTTGGATCCCTGGGTGATGGGATTTATAATATTTGCTGATTTCATGCAAATACTCCACTTGGCTAAGTTTAGGTTACCAAGAATTTAACAATTGACTTTCGCCAAATATACAAGCCAGCTCCAGCATACCAATGCACAGGATGCTGAGGGTGGGGTCTGCCTGATTATTAAAATACTAGAGGCCCAGTGCATGAAAAAATTCATGCACTGGAGTGGGGGTCCCTCAACCCGGCCTGCCCCCTCTCACAGTCCGGGAGCCCCCAGGGGCAGGAGTCAACCTGGTGATCAGGGGAAGGCCATGGTCCCATCACACCTCTGCTGCTGCCACTGCTGGCAGTGCAAGTCTCAGCTGGCCCTGGTTACCTGAGCCTTGGATGGTTCTGGGCAGCTGCCATCTGAGCCTTGCCTGTGCCTCTGGCTGGCCCTGGGTGACTGAGCAGCCACCATTCGAGGCTTGCCTGTGCCTCAGGCCGGCCCTGGGCGGTTGGGGGGCTGAGGGGACTGGGGTACTCCAGAGGCAGGTGCACGGCAAAGCCAGGCCCGGCAGGGCTTAGGGGACTAGGCGCTGCCATCTTGTGGCTATGGGCACTGCCATCTTTGCAACGGAGTGAGTGTCAATTAGTATATTCCCTTTTTGTTAGATAGGATATTAAATATATTAGAAATTTTTTAAATGAATTTGATATAGATAGTTTTAAAAAACCCTTCCCATTGTCTTAGGTGTTTTACTCTTGGTTCCACAAAACAGGGAAAAGATGAGAATTTGAGGGGAAATCTGGGTGTAAGGACAATCTCAGTAGATTGTCTTGGATCAGAACTCAGCATCTAGTTGCATGCTATGGGGGATGAGTAAAGGGGGGTGCACACCAGGCTATTGTCATCTAGATTTTAGGATTTGACTCTTTATTATTTCAGGTGGAAAAGGCACTTACATATGAAAAGTTCAGAGCCTGGACGGATCCAGAAAACATGAGTGAGATTAAAGTTCAAGTTTTTCTTCCCCGGTTAAAACTGGAGAAGAGCTATGACTTGGAGTCTTATCTTCGAAGTTTAGGAATGACTGATGCTTTTGAGGAAGCCAAGGCAGACTTTTCTGGAATGTCAACTAAGAAGAATGTGCCCGTGTCCAAGGTTGCACACAAGTGCTTTGTAGAGGTCAATGAGGAAGGCACAGAGGCGGCTGCGGCCACTGCCGTGGTCAGGAATTCCCGGTGCAGCAGAATAGAGCCAAGATTTTGTGCAGACCACCCATTCCTTTTCTTCATCAGGCACCACAAAACCAACAGCATCTTGTTCTGCGGCAGGTTCTCTTCTCCATAAAGAGGTGCCATTGCTTACAGGTGCTCCTTTCCCTTCTGCCAACCTTGCCTTGATTCAGATTCTGTAGGACCAAATTGGTGCATGTGGTGGTATGAATGCCAAAATAAAGCGTTTGCACCTAGGATGTCTGTGAATGTCTTTACCAAATATTCCACGGCCACTGAGAATAATTGAGACTGCAGATGGGTGGAGTTTGGGAAGGAGAAGGATATGCTTGCTCGGAAATGTTTGGGGAGCTCTTCCCTCAAAGACTCTGCCCTCACCAACCTGCTATAAGATGGCCATTAATCCTCAAAGTCCGTGCCCATTGTGGGCATCTTTAGGAACATGTCAAGGATTGACAAATCAGCCCTCCACATGCCCTTCCATTCTACAATGATCTCAAAGACCATTGAGGTGCCCACCACCATTGCCAGGCTCAGCTGGAGATAGCAGTGTCCAGGCCCCCTGCATACAAGGCCAGGGGTGAATGTTACAACCAACACTAGCCACCTATGTCTCATAACAACTGAGACAGTGTCCCCTGGGCAGTATCACACAGGCAGCCTTGCATGTCCCATATCTCACACAGTCCCTTATGCAAATCACTCCTTCAAATCCTTTTGCCATAAACCTGATAGGAGTTCAGGGGCTCAGCAGGTAGCTTCAGAAATGAGTTTGGAGCCAAATCTCTGAAACATGCCCAGTCCTCTCCATTTCCCTTGCTTCTAAAACATACACACAACCAGGAAAAAACCCACACCAAGCACTTCTTGGAAGCAATGACCCTCTAGTTAATCACACATAGCTCAAGCACCCCCCTTGTTAAAAAACAGATCTCCCCAGATCATTTTTTTCAGATTAAAAAAATACACTTTTAATCTGAACATTTTGGAAACTATAGAAAAGTATACAAAGAAAATTAGTCACTCACAGTTCCACTACCCAGCAATCACTACTGTTAACAATGATATATATACTTCCCTGTTCTATGTATGCAAATAGAAGTTTATAAACCAACACAAGTTAATCATGCCCTTCTGTAGCTAATTTCTACCCTTACAACTATCTGCTTTTGATTCGCATTAACATATTTATAGTATGTTCTGCTCTAATACGTATTGTTCTCTCTATGCCCTTAATGTAGTTCCATCTATTTGTCTGTCCTTGAACAATCTGCTTTTTTATTTTTATGTTTATTTTTAATTAGGAAGGCTTTGTAGTATGTCTTAGTTATTTATCTCTGGAATAGAGAAATGCTGTCGATTTTTATAGTTTGATCTTAGATGTCTTTGGCTTCCTTATAAATCTTACTTTTATGGGTCTCATCTATTTTCTTTTTATTTATTTTAATCATTGTGTTTTCTTATAAGATATTTTAAATTGTTTACTTTTTAATCACTATTATCTTCTTTTATTTTCTTATTTAAAATGTCTGTTGTGCCTGGCTGGTATGACTCAGTGGTTGAGCATTGATCCATATATCGAGAGGTCACTGGTTTGATTCCCAGTCAGGCTGTGGGCTCAATCCCTAGTAGGGGGTCCCACAGGAGGCAACCGATTGATGTTTCTCTCTCATCAATGTTTCTATCTCTCTCTTCCTTTCCTTTCCTCTCTCTCAAAATCAATAAAAATATATAAAAAAATAAAATGTCTGTTGCAACAGTTCTGCTTCAAATGTTTAGGTTGGTCAATTTCTTTTCTTTTATTGTTGACACTATTACAGATATCCCACATTCCCCCTTCCCAGCCCCCAACCCCCATTTTGCTCACCTCAGTCAATTTATTTTATAGTGTTTTTCTTCCTCAAGTATCCAGATTTTTGGTCTGTGGGTTCAAGTTGACCTTGGGTTATCAGATATGTTCTGCTGAAATGGGTTGAGTGAGGCTTAAAAGTCAGACCTTTTTTTTAAAATTTTGTCTTTTTTTAGTGACAGTCCTACCCAGTTTGATGACATACTTTCTGTCAGTCCATCAGGAAAACCTCATAGTCAGGGTTGAAGCAGTCATACTCAAAGGGAACCAAATTCTCACCTGTTAACTTCAACTCCTCACCCCTGCTAGGCTTTTAAAATGTACCAATATAACCTCAAGGATGCTAATACAGATGATATAGGCTATCGATTTAGAGTTTTGTTCTGAAGGAACAAGGGCAGCAAGGCAGGAACTTAAAACATCTGGCCCAGCCTGTCTTCTCTGTAGGCAGCAGGTGTCTCCCTTTCCAAATGGCAGCTGTGCACTGCTTGAGCACCGGAGTCCAAGCACCGTTCTGCTTCCCATGGATGGCTTGGCTGTCTTGTTGCTTGGTGAGTCTTATCTTGTTGTTACTATTTGTTTGATTGATTAGTTCTCTTGTTTCTCTCCTGCCTTTAATTTCTCTAGAGCTGAGTTTTGGGAAGAGAGTCAAACTCCTGCTTTGTGGCATCTTTGTAGGAAACGAATCATCTTTTTAATGATGTTTGTGCTAATATGTCAAAGTAAAAAAAAAGTGTATTTTACCATATACTCATAGACGATTAATAAATTTGAGTTACTCTTTAAAAATATAAATTATATTTTATAGTCTCTAGATTTAAAAAGAAAAGCCTGAAAATACAAAATCTTGGCAAAGATCAAGAGCAATTCTCATATAATGCTGGAGGGAGCAGAAACTGGTAAAACCACTTAGAAAAGGATTCTGGCATGACTTAGTAATGTTAAGCATTTGTATATACTATGACCAGATATTCCACTCCTGGCTAGAAACCCTAAAAAACTCTATGTTCAAAGAGCATGCAAAAATAATGCTCATAGCAACATTGTTCATCATAGCAAGAAAAAAATGTAGAAATATAGAAAAAAACTGAATTATTAAAATGAATAAATCATGTTGCACTCATGCAGAGGAAAGAATCAGGGTCATTGCCTTGCTCAGCTCTGGGGCACCATTCACATAGTCTGCACATTTCAATAATGTTACTGGCGTTTTCTGGAGTTTGTACAAATTTGTGCAGAATACCATATACTAAGCAAAATAAATTAACCATAGCTACCACTATAAAACACAATGCCAACCCAAAATAACAAGTATTAGTTGCATTCGCATAATATTAAACAATAGGCAAACTGATTATTATGCTATACACTCACACACACACACACACACACACACACACACACAGTAAAGCTATATAGGAAAGAACAAAGAAATTCATACAAAACAGAATAATATTAAATCCAGGAAAGAATGTGATTAGCTAGGTCAGCAGGGAGCTTTAAAATTATTCATGATTCTCTGTTTCTTAAACTGGGTAGTGGATATTAGATAATTATTCAATTTACTATTAACTTTTAAGTATAGTATATATGTAAATTCATTGCATTATATGTATGATGCATTTAACAATGAAAAGAAATTTAATAAAAGAATGGATAAACCATGGTATGATATGATGTGGTGAGAACTACAATCAGCTAAGATAGAAAAAATAAAATATTGCAAATTTAATAATAAAACTAAATGTAACTTTCCTGTTAAAAGAAAAAAAACCCTTTTAGATTGGAGATGAGAAACAGTATTTTGCCAAATGTTATTTCAATTAGCATTTCTCAAACAAAGTGACACAATATATGTACGTGAACTGAGAGGTAAAGATGTATCAGGCAAATTTAAAAGGACAGCAGTAGTCAAGCTACTAATAATATCAGAACAAGTAGACTTTAAGGAAATTAATAAAAATGGAGAAATGCTATCATTTGATATAGAAAAGGGCATGATTCATAGGAAAGTTAAAATGTTCAAACTGGACAGATGAACATAGAAAAAATAAATCATAAAAGTTGGATGAAAAGTTCAATATTACACTGTACTTTACACTAAGACCCATTTTTGTATACCTTTATACGTCTGAAATTAAGATATGTCTTGATGTAACTTTTATTGCCCATACATGCTTGCATTTAGACATAGAAGACTGTAATTTTTTCCCACTTTAAGTTATCATTGGTGATATATGTGTTAAGTATAGTTGTCATTATTTTTAAGGTTATATTATTATTTGACATTGAGAAAATTATTGTGAATATCAAAAATTATTGAAGTGAAATTGATGTGGAATTTGATATTAGAGAAGTAAACACTTTATATTTGGAGGAACTAGTGCATTTTTCTGTTTTCTTGCAAAGCAGTGACCATGATTTATAGGAGCAGCAAAACAGACAAGCAGCAAAAGTTGTGCTAAAGGATGACCAATCACATACCAACAGCAGAATCTGCAGAAAGGGTATTAGCCACTTGGAAGAAAATCCCAGAGACAATAGTGCTGTGTTTGCTCCTGTTTGGTGGTGTTTGGTGATATCCACATAGCAAAGCTCTTGATGGCATAATCAATACACAGTGATGTGATGAAAAACATGAACGTCCATAGTGTGTGCCCCATGATGATGAAAAAGACTCAGACTCTAAATATATTCTAAGGTTATTTTGAAGTATATATTGCAAATATTTAATTATGAACAATAATAAGGCATATTAAAATATATATGTAAGTACATAAAAGAACTCTCTCTCTCTCTCTCTCTCTATATATATATATATATATATAGAGAGAGAGAGAGAATAAAAATTTAAGTGAAAGAAAGTATCATATCATAATTCAATTGGCAGAGCTTTCATTTCCTTAGTGCTACATGAAATAATAATGCATTTCAGCTGAGGTCATTTTAGAATTAATGAAATGGGGTATAGTTTATTGGGTTTTTCTTCTCTTACTATCTTACTGTCTAGAATGCATGTGCATTGAGTGTTGGACCCTACACTCAACTTCTTTCTATTTTCCCTTCTTAAATTTTAAAATATATCTTGAGCTTTTTCTCCTATTTCCTCTATTGATTAGGGAGGCAATATGTGGTATTTTTTGCCTTTTGATCATTCCTTTTTTTCATATCAGTGTGTGTGCTTGTCTATGTGTGTGTAAGCATGTGTAATAACTTCTAGAATTAGCTAAAGATATTAATGAAGGTTTTTCATGTTCTTACCTAAATTGTTTCTTCCAGATCAACTCTGCTGAGTGTCAATATTTGTCCTGTAGTAAACCAATGAATAAAAGGTTTTACATTGAGAAGAAACACATTTAAATTTGTAATTTATAAAGATTATTTGGACTA